CAGTGAGGCCAGATGCGAGAAGAAGCCGACTCGGTAAATTAATACGTTTTGTACGGAATCCACATATCACACCACTGTCCAAAACCTTGAAACAAAAACTTGCTACATATTCTCAGGAATTGGTGGGTGGTCAAATGTTAGCGGTTGTTGGTAACTGTCACCGACGGGACTAAGCGGTTTCTTGGAAAAGCGACTGAATTTAGGCAGCGAAGGATCGCGGTGGTGTGCAAGTTAACACTCCGCAGTACCGTCTGAATCGGTCAGCAAGGCGTTTCAACTCAAGATTTCAAGCTGAAAGACCAATTATGTTGCTTGCACAACTCCGGCTTCATGATCTTAATTGCTATGGCTTCCGCAGTTGTCAGAATTTTCCTACGTAATCCTTTGGCGTGGTTCTTAAGTGCAGTGAAGAAACTTGTATATGATGTTTTTGGGTCAATTCTGTGTGTACTGTCGACCAAATGATGCAGGATTGACCAGCTTGAAGCTTCTCACTGTTCCTTTTCGAAGAGCGGCAGGACAGTGTTCAGATATTCTCTTGGACAAACGCCTCGTTGTGTGTCCAATATAGCGAGCACTACAAGTGAACGTGAACTGATATACAACAAAAGATTGGGACTGATGAGGTAATTTATCTTTAAGTTGTTGAAAAATGAATGGCTTAGTCCTGGATGGGAGTCTTAAATACGCCGCGGGAAAACAGTTTACAATGACTCTGGATAACAGATATTCCAGGATTTCTAATACCTTGTCTCCCTTGAAGGGAACGTTGACAAACACCGTCTACTTTCTAGTCAGTTGTACTTTTGAATCGGTTGGTTTTGATTCCATATGTCGACGTATAAACGCCTTTGGGTATCCGTTCTTCTTAAGGATGTCTCTTATCTAGGTAAACTCTTCGTTCAGAGTCTCCGGAATACAAATTCTCTTTTCCCTTTCTCTTTGTCGCAAATGGTGAAAGTATCATCCATATATCTAATGTATACACCTAGACTGTCAATTGTGTACCTCTAAGGTTCATTTTCGAGCTTGGCTAAAAATATGTCTCCCAAAAGTGGTACAAGCGGTGATCCCATCGCTACACAATCCTTCTGTGGATAGTACTTTTGATTGTACAAAAACTGGACGTTCCAAGTACATCTCAGTATGAGTTCTTTAAGTTTCATCTCGGGAATTTCGATCTGGGAGATCCTGACAACTGCGGAAGCCATAACAATAAAGATCATGAAAGACTAATGTTGAATAGGTCTAGCCCAGATCGATTCGACAGTGCATGAGACGGATCAGATCTCGGAAACCAAGTTGAGAAAATGTAGAAATCATTGTTGAGTATCTGAGGACTTTGGAGCACTAAAATTGTCCCATGTTTGCAGGATGGACATCCAAAAGGGAGCACGGAAGCGGATGATTGCACGAGATCAGTGACAAAATTGACCGGCTTCTACTGGTTCGACACATCGGTGACAAAATTATTGTGTCTCACTCACAGTGTTTTTCTGGGAACATGAGACCAGAAGCCTGATCCTAACCATTTTATTCTAGCGCGTATTTGGTCGGTTCGAATCACTACTATTCCCATTTTTGCTACCATCTTACATTCGACGATACATAGAGTATTTCAATCAGATCTGGATCACATGACCAATCCGTGATCGTACAATGCTCGATCGTGCACGAAAAATTTCCAGTAAAATATCCAAGAGTTTGTGTCACTTCATTTGTGTAGACATTACTGCCATTGTGATTATATTCCATTCCGTACCATTAAATTTAAGGAGATCCGGAATCGATGTATAAAAGACCGGAATCGTCCATTTTGTTCACCACTCACGTCTTTTTGAACGCAAGACATCCTGAAATGACAGTAGACAACGTGATATACAAGCTCAGTTCGTCTGCGAACCAAAAATATTGCCACCCGCAAAGCCCCTTGCGCCGGCAATTATCTGTGGATACATTCTTAGCAATCTTAAGGTTGATCATCTATCCGATTATGCCTCACATATCCTCACCTGGCTGATAAAGTCGGTGTTTGAACACAACTTGGATGGCTGTCGTCATCACATCTGTACTCGTTGATGTCGGAACAGTTAACTTAAGTTGGATATTTGTCATGTTTTCGTACGGATGCCATTAGTTGTTGCGACATTAATCACAATATGCAACTCACAGAAAGCAGGAACAAAGGCTCTTATTCTTATTTCATAAAATCGTCTTCCTCTATGTTCGTTTACTGTCAGGCTTTCATCCTGTTTTGTCCTAGAGGTTGAAGAGAGTTAATTTAATAATGAGAAATAAAGTGACACCATACATTTGAGCGTAATTTATATCCATCTATTGTATGGCTGTGGTTTAGGGGGAAAATATCAGGCCTTTCTCGCAGTATCTGAGCAAATGGAAAAAATCCGCATTGAAACCACGTTACAAACGATCACCCGGTCCGGTGATTTGCGATCATCTAACGTAAACAAAGCGGTCGGATTAGGTCATGTAAACAAACTGCACAGGGGGAAGTCAGGGTCCCTGTATCGATCGGGGAGTTTCACAACATCTCACGGATATTGCAAATTATTTCAGTTTTTCATGCGAACATTGATGCACACCTAATGAACGACGAATGGCTAAAACCCCAACTTCTACGTCTGTGCTTCATTCCGTTCTCAAGGATTTACTCGCTCGCAGCAGGCTGATAGACGGAACTGCGTACGCTTTTCGTTATGAGCTTTCTATGGTAATCACGTGCGTCCCTAAATTTTTTTGTGTAACCTTGTGCCAGAGGGTGGCATTAGGATAACATTTGCCTATTTATGTAAGTATGGGCATCGACTTCAAGTTTCATATTTATTATTCCCAGTCCCGGTTCCGATTATCCCGATCTTGCCCCGATCCCCGATCGTTGGACTGTCCGAGTGGGTGAACATGACATGTTAGACGAATCGGTACCACACTATGACATGGAGGTTGAACGAATCATACCCCATCCGCATTACAATACACAAACACGTAAGTACATTGTTGTGAACTGAGTTAAGGTGTTTAGTTTGTTATGTTTCAATGCAATTTATCTCCGAGAAATTTCTCGAACACCACGGTGTGTTGAACAGTCGAAAGGAAAAACGCTGGAGTCATTGGGATCTATTCATTACTGTCGGGAATTGAAAATCCATCACACATCCGTGTACCTGAGCAAAATACGTACGACTCTATCACGACAGATATCGAGATATTGAGCTTGCTGATACTAAGGCCACCATATGAGAAAACGATAGACCTTTAATTCATCTACGTGAAATTAACCGATAACTTGGATGACGACTGTCAAAGGAATCCAGGAAAGTGAAGCTGACAATCAAGCTGCATTCTTCTAAAGACTAACTCAGGTTTTTGGAGGAAGCAAAGTTCCATCCATTCCGCTGGTCTTTGAGGATTGACAATAATCTTCTATCTCTGCCTGAGTTTGACCAAACGAGTGAATAACACCGAACCCGATAGACAATGACCTTCAAGCTGGATATGGATGAAAGAACAACAGTTTTTGCCGTATATCGGGATCCCGTTTTCATGTAACAAAGCACAGGAAAATGAAACTTGTTGGCAATTTCCTGACATAATCCTTTATAGATTGGGGACCCTCAAGTGTTTTGCGTTCATGAACGGGAAAAATGCACTCTGTCCGCGTGAGGATAATGCTAGCACGGCAGAATAGACGCAGTTCGCGGCGAAAGCGAGAGCGGAACTCTTAACTGTTGCATTTCCGGATGAGTGCCAAGGGGTTTTATAAGCCAAGTAGGGCATTAGATCTGTTCCGATCAGAAAATCCCGAAAAGCTCCTCATAAACTGAGATCATTTGAAATGGACTTGCCTTTAGGGATCATTTACCAGTTTGCAGCAAATCTAAAGCGAACAAGAACACCGTATGGAATAGACGAAAACAGTTAGACCGACAGATAGATACTAAGAGAGTTTCTTAGATAGATAGAAAGAAAGATAGATTGATTGATTGACTGACAGATAGATAGATAAACAGATAGATGGATCGAGGACTACGAATTTACAGATTTGATGGAAATAAACTAATAGTACGTAGGCGAGGAATAGCCCTTGTGTATTTAATCATAACTGAAACATCAAATAAATCACAGCAAAACCCATCATATACATTTTGCGTAATTTATGGGTTATCACTACCAAGTTTCCAACATGTAATACGATCATAGTTCATCTTGTTCAAAGTTGTATTACCGCTTGTCACATAAAAAATGAATGAAATGTCTAATTTCGTCCCAAATGGTGTTTGCTGGTTTTGCAACAGAAATATATGATATCGCATTGGTGCAACTGAAACGCCCTGTTCCACAAGCCCGTTATGTGAATATTGCCTGTCTACCGGCTGAGTTTGAGAACCTCAAAATCGGTCAAACGTGCTACAGTGTCGGCTGGGGACACGAGGAATCGAGTGAGTTCTGTACTGTTCAATGTGCACCTGTTTTCCAATTCCCACTTCGCTCCATTGCCTTGCTTTTGGAAATCGTCCCGTTGAAATCGCTTGGTCTGGGTTGCATCAGACGTAGTCGACTACAGACTGATTTACTTCATGGTAGACATAGATGTGAGTTTGTTGGAAACACAGTACTGTGAACCCGTTCCCATGCTACTTTCTAATTGATAGAGCACGGAAAGTTTTCTATCATTACTTAAATATACTTTTCTTGATTAAGAAATGTGGGGCTAGGTGGAATGAGAAAGCATCTATATGTTTAATTGTGATACAAGAGGGAGACAACTAGATAGCAATACACCATTACGTGGTCATTTAATTGAACCGTCAACAGCATACGTTGTATGTTAGTTGGATGTGAATCCATGAACAACAAGAACAACATCAACCTTCGTGCCTGTTCCACAGGATGTATTTGGTTTTGAGCTGGGTGTAGGATGGCATAATTACATTTTCGTGAACCTAAAGTAATTCGTGCAGTCTAGTTCACTTAAGGCGAACTATCCGTGATTTAAATGGCTTGGGTACTTCTCGCCAAAAGTTTGCATGATTGCTCCCAATTCAAAGTGATTCTCATTCTCTCGGTCGGAATTTATCGTTATCATTGCTACAGCGAAACAAACGCCACATATTACTGTGACCTAAATGCGGAGTGAAGGTTCAAAACCACTAGTAACAGACCCATCCTCTACACATCCAAGAAGCATGACAAATGGAACATGTATAGACGTTCAAGCATGTTTAGTACCGCAAAACGGTGTAAAAAAGTGATTCGGTAAAGGAACAAAAGCAGTTATGTACTGACAAGCTTTACCAATGTAGCTGAAGACAAACTTGGATGGGCATGGCCTGAGAATCAAGTTTTGAAAATTCTCGACGTACTCAATTCGTCGGGGTTAACCGTTCCCCAACCTTACATATAACCCTGGAAATACAGAACTCGACCACCGTGCAGACAAGTTTTCATCTGTGGCTAACTCACAATACCATCAAACTGCTACGTAGCTCGAAGGCACCAGAGAATCAGTGAGTAAAAGACATCAAATAGAACTTGATAGTGCCCAATTTAAGTTGTTGAGCATCATGAATGAATGAAACTTCAAGATGAATTAAATGTTTTTCCTTTATTTAACGTCTTTTTCTCAAATGTGGCAGTATCGATAAAGATTAACTTCCTCCAGGATTATACTGATATTGAACAAAAGTGGTAGGAATACCACTGAGGATTTTCAAGGAAACCTTGTAGTGATATCAACTTACTGTTTAGTTTACTGTTGATAGAAATTCCTACTGTGAAATAGACCGAGTAGCTATGAGTCCCCTCCCCTAGGTCTCACTCCTATCGGATATAATCATGACCAATTTAGGAAACCCAACATTGAAGCAAGATTCTGAGCAAATGAATTTGTACTGCCGCTACGTCGACAGCATAACCAGTCTTATACAGGAAGATAGAAACCCGAAAAGGATGTTCCAAATATACATCGATACGTTTCACTTTGAACAAAGCGAAAAACGGCAATTAAGTGTTCACAAAGGTTGTTCCGAAACTTTACGGATCGTTAAAACATGGAATATGCATTAATTAAACAAGAAGAATCAACCAAAAATCGTTTACAGATTAGCTGCAAATAGAGAAAAACAATATGAGCTAGAATATGACAATCAGAGTTCACCAAATTTGTCACGACAAAGAGTTAAACCAAGATCTAATAGAAATTTAGGGAGTTTGAACAAAGAAGGTTTATCTCTATCTTGAAAATGTTATTTGAAGACTATCAGCCGAACAGGTGGATGACCCTCTAGCTATCTATCTTTCAAACGGGATATAAAACATGGCCTCTTTAACAGATGTTCAGCACGTGCAGTAAAACGAACTTACATTTTTTCTGTTCAAAGGCTGGCCCATAATCGGAGTATACCTGTTTCATGGTGATATACTACTTGTATTTTAACACTGATCGATCGTATAGTGAGACAACTCCTGAAAGGATGAATAAACACTTTCCACACTGCTTAACACAAAGAGCCACAGGAGGTATACAGAACTCTATTCTCGAGCGTTTAGAGCACACAGACCCTCATATAAAACATTGATCCTCCTTTGGAATTGGCTGCCGTGCACCTCCAACTTCCCCAAAGTTCATGCATGGACACACCAGATGCGGCTGACGTTATAGCCATACACTTTTCCGCAGATGAACTGTGTGCACAAGAGCTACTGTTTCGGGCTCTCTTTTACCGCTGACTGAATTCAATCATCCAAATCGCTGCTTTCATCACCCGAACTCCGACAATAATCGCTTTCAACCACAAACGACCAGCACAGAGACTGTGCCATTTGGTGCAGGGTCCATATTACTGCCTCATTCCGTCCCAAATAACCTTTTGATCCAGTCCGATTGGTATCTCAACTCCGCATTTTTCTTCGGTTTTCAGTGGCCAAGAATATTTCGTCCGTGCTTCGTCACGTGCCCCTATCCATCGTTTCGAACGAGGACTGCCATTTGAGCTACAAACGTGTGGCTGAAATGGATCCGGCCTACAAAATCAACATTCTGGATATGATGGTGTGCGCCGGTGATCCACGGGGTGGTCGAGACGCGTGTCAGGTCAGTTTGGCTGCACTCGTGGTGTGTTTGTGCGTGTGTATGTGTGGTGTGTGTGTGTGTGTGTGTGAATGAGCCAGTTTTCAAACACGACATCTTTTCAGGTAGTATACGATGCAATAATTAAAATACAGTACACACCTTATGCG